ACGAAAATTTGAGTGGTTTAAAATTGCTTCATAGAAAGAATCGATCCGCGAAAAATCAACCTTTTATTAAAACTAAAATTTTATAGACTGATCCGCTTCGCAAAAAAAATAAAATTTGTCTAAGCAAGCTATTCAAGCTATGAGAGTGAAACATTTCAATTTGTTGGTTAGAGGTAACCAATTTGAAAAAAATCTTAAGTTTTCCATGCAAGCTATTCAAGCAAGGAAAACTTTAAGGTTATTAAATAGAGCAATCAGTGAGCAAAAAACTTTCTTAAGCTATTCATGTTCTGATTTTTGTTTCAACTTATCAAGCAATCGAATAGCGAAAAAAGTGAATTTTATTTATTGCACCATTCAAACAATAAAACTTTCAAATGTTTCAAGTACTGCCATAGACCAAATTAGAAAATTTCCAAATTTTCTAAGCAAGCTATTCAAGCTATGAATCTTTGAAACAAATTAAGACGAATCAGATAACGAAAAAATAAAACTTTCTGCTGAAGCCATTCAACCGATGACATTTCGAAATATTTGAAATTTTTTTCATAGAGTTAACTTGAAGTTTTTCTTTTGGAGCCAATAAAACGATGGAACTAAGACATGTTTCATAGACCAAAGTTATTAGCAAAAAAAAACAAATTTTGCTTGGCTAGCTATTTGGCTTAAGCTTTGAAAGGCTTCAATTTATTTCTTAAACCGAATCGGTTGGACGAAAACTTATGTTTTCTTGAGCAAGCTGTACAAGCTATGAAATATTTCAAGCCATTTCATCGACTGTTTCCATCTTGAACAAGATTAAGTACTTCTGAGCAAGCTATTCAGGCTATGAAACATTTCAAGTTATTTCATCGACTGTTTCCATCTTGAACATAAGTTTTTCGAAGCAAGCTATTCAGGCTATGAAACATTTCTATCAAACTCGTAGATCAAATCGAAGCATAAAAAAGTTGAATTTCTCTAAACAAGCTATTCAAGCTATCAAAATTTCAGTTGCTTCAAGTTATTTTATGCACAAATCAGTTCGCAAAAGTTCATCGCAAGCTACTCAAGCTATGAAACTTAAAGTTATTCCGTGAGCCGAATCGGCTCGCGAAAAGTTTCAGTTTTTCTAAGCGAGCTTGTTTTTATGCCAAGAAACGCTGAAATATTTCAGTTTACTTCATGGGGTGAATCGGTTCGCAAAAATTCTTTCTTAGCATGGAAGTTGCTGTTTTTAGTGGATTCGTGTCTGACTGAAATGAATGTAAACACAAAATTTGAGACAAAAATTAAGCTGGTACTGTCTAGCCTTGAAGTTGGGTCAAGTTCATCTTTCTCTGATAATTGCTCTGAATAATTTTTGAAGGTTATGCTCGATAAAAAAAGTTAAACGTTGCGTCCATAGCGCATTAAGACTTTCATTTAATATATAAGATATTTATGCGTTAACCAATTCAATTTCTTAATGTTACGAATTTTCAAATACTAAAAAAGGCGCCTAAAGCTATTGAAAGCAACTTAAAACTTAAGAATTGATATCATTTTAAGTCAATAAAAAAACTAGGTGAATTGCTGGTGACTTTAAGCTGATTTAAGTGAAATATACTTCAATATAACTAGCGTATAACGCACCTCCAGTGCTTCGAATTTTCAAAAACTCAAAAACCTATTCTCTGAGTGTAGTATGACAGCACCAAATTACAGGGTTCGTAACTACAAATTTTGCAAAGTTTTTTATTCAAGTTTTTTATACAAATTTTGAAGAACCATAAAAATTCTTGAAGTTTCATATAAGTTCTTCGAATAATTTTAGATGAACTAAGAAACGTCACATTTGGGAAACTGAACGCAATTGAGCAGTCGCATTTGGTCGCAAGATTTGCAACTCCTGAGAGTTCTCTTACAGTACCCAACTACAACGTTGGGAAATTCAAATTTTGAGAAACTTCACCTTAAGTTTTGTAAAAAAAGATATTCACATCTCGAAAACTACCAAAATTTGAGCAGTCTTTTTTGATGGCAATATTCGCAATCCTTGAAAGTACACGACGACAGGGTTGGGAATTTCAGTTTAGCGAATTATTTTGTAATTTGAGTTTTCTGAAAAATTCACAAAAATCGTCGTATCTCTTAAACAAAAAAGATTTGGGCATTCTTAATTAAAGGTCAAATTTGCAACCACTAAGATTACTCTGACAGCCCCTCAATTACAGGTTAGGAAATTCAAACTTCATTTCTGGAAAACTTCACAAAAACGTCATATCTGAAAAACTACAAGGATTTGAGCAGGCAAATTGGGAAGCAGAACTCGCAACTCCTGAGAGTACCCTGACATTTAGTGAAAAATTTTATACTTAAGTTTTCTGAAAAAATTCGAAAAAAACCTTAAAAAAACGTCATTTCTCAAAAACTACGGGAATTTGAGCAGCCACATTCAGAGGCAAGATTCGCAACCCCCTGAGAGTACCCTCACAGATTCCAATAACAGGATTGAGATCTTCAAACTTTCGGAATTTTTAACATTCTAGTTTTATTGAAAATTTCGGAGAAAATCATAAAAAACGTCATATCTCGATAACTACACAGATTTGAGCCGTCATATTTGGCGGCAAAATTCGCAAATCCTGAGAGTACCCTGACAGAGTCTCACTACAGAGATGGTAATTTCCAGTTTTATTAAATTTTTTATATCTAAGTTTTCGAAAAATTTTGAAAAAAATCCAAAAAAAAAACATCATATCTCAAAAACTACAGATTTGAGCAGCCATAATCAGAGGCAAGAGCTATAATCAGACCCTCACAATATCCAACAACAGGATTGAGATCTTCAAGGTTTTAGAAACTTTTAAAATCTATGTTTTTGAAAAAATCATAAAAAACGTTATATCTCGAAAACTAAAATGATTTGAGATTTGAGAATTGGAGGCAAGATTCGCAAGCCCTGAGAGTACCCTGACACCACCCAACTACAGGGAAAGAATTTTAAAAATTGACAAATATTTCTAAATTAAATTTTCTAGAAATTTTTGAAAAATCTCGAAAATTGCCTATCTCGTAAACTAAAAGGATTTGGTTATTCATATATGGAGGCCAGAATCGCAAAACCTGGGAAAACTCTGACAATATCCTATTATTGGGTTGCTAATTTCAAACTTGATGAAATAAACACTGAATTTAAACTGGAAAATTGAAAAAAACCGTATTGGAATATACGATATACCTCAAACGTGAAAAAAAAAAATTTGTTAAACATGCAAAAATAATACGTTGAAAAAGCTTAAACATGGCGAGATAGTGAAGTTCGCATTTAAATATATAATAAATACTGCGCAAGTTTTTATCGATGCTCCTTTTATCAAGGTATTCCGGACTATTTTGCTCTACTTAAATTGTAAGGTATTAATAGAATTTGTAGCAAAAAAAGTTCGGACGGAGCGATTTATTTCGGAAAAACTTTGCATGCAAAAAAAATTTTTTTTCTGACATAATTCATGTCTCAAGGTTATATGAAACATCAAAATTGCATACGAACAGTCAAAATGAATACATTACTTTTTAAAATTAAATTCTTTGTCCAAACTTTCAGCTACTTTCTAAAGAGTTGCAAAAGTTGCTACAGACGAGATTACTTTCATGTCTTATTTTAGACAATTTGCATGCAACACTTTTCAGACAATGCAAGTTCAAATTTGCGTACCGAAATTGCTAAAATGGGCCGATTGCTCTTTAATAATTTGTCTGTTCTAATTTTTAGCAACTTAAGTAGTTTTTTACCAAACTTATCGGACACCGTCTCAAAGTTCGGACCTTGATACGCTGAAATGCCGCAACTGCAACCAAATTTTTAAAATAAAATTTGACCTGTCAAAGAGCACTGCAAACACTGCAAATTGATTACAATTTATCAGAGACATCTAATTTTGAATCCCTTCTTAAAATTTAAACTAAATCAAAATACCTCTTTGCGCTTGCCTTTTTGTCGGCATTTTTTGCTCTGAGAAAATGCATGGCAAATCATTATTGAAAGGAAAAGTTTTTTCAATTGTGCAGTTTTGAATAATCGATTGCAGTTTTAACGCTATTTCAATATCGCAAGAACAGAATTATTTCAAAAGAAAATTGCATGCAAAACCTAACTTTTCAGTTCGAATTTGTGTCTCTCAAGATTGCCTGAAAAACAAAATTGCATGCAAAAATCTGTCAAAATGTTACAATTGCTCTTTTTAATTAATTTTGTCTGTGCGAACTTTTTGCAACTCTCTATATCGCTTTTAACAAATTTATCGGACGTCTTAAATTTTTGAAATATGTCTGACTTTCAGGCGGAAACCTAAGAGAAATAGTTCTATGCCTTTTTGACGGCGTCTTGTTTTTTTTAATTGAAAAATTGCTTGCCACTTCTCTGCTGAAAGAAATGTTTTGAAGTTATGGGCTTGAGGTTATATGCGGTTGTAATTTCAACTCTATTTCATTATCTCAAGGTCAAAATTATTTCAGAAATATTAGACGTTGTTCGATAAATTTGTTAAAAGCTATAACGTGCCATGCAATTTTCAGACAAACAAAACACCGACAAAAAACGAAACTCAGCAATTTAGAAAAATTTAGAATTATTTTGGTCTTGGAGGTCTGAATTATTTCAAAAAATTCTATGACATCCATTTTCGGCAACCAACCCTATTCTTTTTTTGAAGGCGCCAAAGTATACTAATGTACGGGGGTAGCGCGCGCCAAAAAAACGCAATTTTTTTGGTCACTTTTTTTTCCAAAATCGGCTATTTTGACCTGTTTGTTTTTCGTCGACATTTTCTCAATTTATTAGGTTAAGCTTGAAGGTCAGATTTATTTCAAAAGGTTAAAAATTTGTCCGATAAATTAGTTTAAAAAACTAGATAACACGACTAGTTAAAATCCTTCAGAATAATTAAAAACACATGGTCTGTCGCTCAAACTATCATACACCATTCCAATTTCTGGCAATTCACTCAAGTTTTGCTTTAATCCTGCTTGTAGTCAAAACACAGACAATTTTATTTACTTTTTTAAGCTTATTACTTAATAAATTCATTTATTTTCAGTTTAATTTAACAATCTGATCTGATGACTCATACAAAGAAGAAATATCTAATCCATATTTTTGGGCTAAACTGAAGGGGACAAATCTTCCTCCAAGATAATGTGTTCCACTGAACATCTGTGCTGCCATCTTCGGTGCAGTTAGAGAAATTAGGGCGGAAGGAACGAAACAGTCATCACCAGCTGAAAAAAAGTTTCAGATCTTTGCTAGGCTTGACTAAATCAGCAAAAGGACTAGTATAAAAGCCACGCATGTCTAGAATTATGACAACTCATGACCTCCCGACAATGATGCTATTGTTTGGACATTGTAACAAGGACAGACGGTTACTGTGCAAGTAGCAGAGAATGTTCCGACCAGTCTTAAAAAATACTACAAAACGTTTTTTCAAATAAGTGTCATTTTTTCGGCGTGGTGTGATAAAAGGATCTGAACCAAAAACTAAAGCTTAGGAATATTCGACAGTCATAATAAAATCAGCAAATTAGAAAACAATTTTTGTAGAAAAAATGAATAGAAAAACAAAACAAAAATCATTAAAATCATTTTTTGCAGTTTTTTTTATTCTAAAAAGGCGCTCAAGTACTAAAAATAATAATCATTTTACTTTAATTCGTTTTTTTTCGGCTGAAATTAAGCTATTGTAAGATTTTAAGCCATTCAAAATAAGATATTGTAAGCCTGTTCACTCGCTTTATTCGCTCAAATTAAGACTAAGAATCAAACATTTCAAACCGGACACTGGGAAAATTTTAAAATTTTTTCATGTTCGAATCACGATTGAAAGGGTTTCAATATGATATATCGCTCAACTCTCTTCGAAGATTATTTGTGGTAGCTGATTTGGCGTGGAAAAGAAGTTTAAAAAACAAACAATTACAATTTATCAATGAATCCCAAAACTTTAAATCGAAGATCTGAAGTTAACATTCGTGCGAGGCGATTAGGTTTTCCCTTATCACAAGGAGCTTGCTTTTTAATGAAAACAATTTAGCAGAATTAAAAAACCTCAAAAACTTTTTTGCAAGATCTTACCAAAATTTTTACCTTAGATCATCAAAAGTGAGGAAGTTTTTGAAAGATACTATCCGGCATTTTTTCGACATATGTATGAAAGTTCAGTATAAATGAATCGAAGGGCCAGAAAGGTAGTTTAAAGAGCATGCAAACAATAACCTGCACCTTTCAACTTTTTACAGCGGGACCCATCTTATAATATTTTTTCTATGTAGACAACTATCATGGATTTATCTTCCAACATCTGATTTGCCATTTTCTAGAGCCACGTTTTTTCGAGATTCCTAACGCACGAGTAAACTTAACTAAAACTAGGGGACAAACTAACTTGGCCCGGAGTCCACATTCCAGCCCGACGGAATATCCACACTCACAATATGTGACTTGTGTTCACTCTTTTTCAACAACTTCAAAGCAGAGTCAAACGGCGGCCTCGGATCTCCTTTGAAACTGAATCCGAACAGAGCGTCTATGATAACGTCATAATCGTCCAAGGTGTCAGGCAAGTCTGCAATGAAATTGACATTGGCCTGCTTCGCCTGAGTGACCAGTCGAATAAACAGATCTTTTGAGGGTTGTTTTGGGCAATGGACTGTGCACTGCATTCCTGCAAAACATTCAGCGCTGAATATACAGACTAAAAATACAACAATAACAATTAGGTTCAACGCCAAAATCAATTTAATGCGCCTTGCAACTTTCGTATTGAAGAGCGGAATCGAGTGTCAACAATCAAAGTGATGAAATTTTTCACATGAGATTGCGAACATTTTTTTCAAACAGTTCACTCAAACAAAAAGTGAGCATATTCTAAACAGTCAAGTGGCAGTTGTAAAAGAGTTAATGAGCTCATGAAAATGAAAGAAAAGACTAATTTTTCAAAAGCACTTTCAATAACAGAAAAAAAATTGTCGACCTTTTTCCTAGGCCGACCAAATTGATTTTGTGAGCTCTCCCAAATCACTGAAAAGACCCACCCTATTTTGGGAAAACTTTTGCACCGCAGGCAAATTTTTGAAAATAAGCGACAAAAAAGGCGTTTTTAGCTACTTTTTAGAAAAATTTTTGCTCCCCCTCAAAATTAGTATAAAAATTGGCGCCAAAGAAATCTACGGTCAAGCAGGGTATCGTATCCCTGAAGTAGGGGAGTAGTATATGAGTGAGGCAGAGTGGGTAGGGGGGGGGATTGGGTGGTTGGAGACCCGCATGTTTTAATATAGGGAATAGAACATTCGGTCTCCAAGCTATGTATTATGATAGGGTATAGATTTCCTATGTATTCAGATATGTTATAGGTTTTACCATAGGTTTGAGATGGTAAGTTTCAGAAATTTTTTTCGGCGCCCGATCTTACCATGTTTTAAGATAGTAAATAGATTTTCCTTTGTATTAGAATTAGAAATAAAAAACTTATATATTAAGATAGAGAATAGGTTGATCAATGTGATACAAAGGGGTATAGGTTTCCCAATGTATTAAGATGAGTCATACCAAGTTTCAGATGGTAAATTTCAGAAAGTGTTTGGTGTCCGATTTTTCCATGCATCAGTTAGTCTAAGTGTATAGATTTCTCGTTGAGATTTCCCATGAATTATGATAGTGTATAGATTTCTCGTTGCATAAGGATTAGAAATTCATTGCATTAGGATGGGGTTTAGGTTTCCCCATGTATTAAGATAGGGAATGGTAAGGTTTCAGTGTGATGGTAAGAGAATGGTAGGAATAACGATTTTTTGGTTTTTAGTTTTTTCGCAAAAATCTCGGCTCGCGTTATGTAATTGGTGAGTATTACGGGTAGATTGTGGTATGAAGGTATTATGTTTTTCGGTTTATGGTACTTTAGTAGATAAGGTTACTCTTTAAAACAAAAACTATCTAGCTGAAAATATGCCGAATTCTACTGAAACTTCGAAAAAAGTCAAGTTTTTGGAAAAAATTGTGGAAAAAATTGCAAAAATTTCATGTTTTTGGAAAAAATTGCAGAAATCTCGAGGTTTTGGCTAATTTTTTGTTGCTTCTGATCTAATTGAAAAAATATACTTATGTGCAAAGTTAAAATTGAGCTCAAATTTCATTTTAATTGGAATCATGATGAGACAGTGATACAAAACTCCATGATTCAACTCCTCAGTTTTTTCTCAATGATTAACCCAAATTTGTTCAAAAATTACAACTTCTGAGAAGTTTTTCACGTTAACAATAATAAATTTCAGATCAGTGATAAAAAAAATGAACAGTTTACTGCTAAAATTGACTAAAATTGGGTAAATTGTTCTTAAAAGTATATTAGATATTGGATGAAAATCAACAAAATCTTCTTCATAACTGATGATTATCTCTGTTGCTTCTACAATATTATTTTCATAACTTTTACCTCGAAATTTTCATGTTTTAGGGTTATTCTTGCTTTCTGCTTAATACATATTTTCACTATTGAACTCACTTTGCAAGAAAATTTAGTCAGTACTGGGGAATTTAGGAAATTAGTATCAATTGAATGAACAATTTGTTGGCAGAGATAGAATTAGAACTGATAACGTCGGATTATTACTAAGTAATTTGTATATGTATTCCTTTAGATTCCTTGTTCACTTGCTGGTGTAAACTATTTAAGCAAAATACAACTTTTGGGATCATTAACTATCACTTTTCTTGCAAAATAGTTACTAAATCGCTTTTTATTCTTGATTTTTGTCGGAAGTTTTCTCAAAAATGTCTAAGTGAGGAAGAATCGGTGCTAGTTAAAGCATTTGAAAGCACATAAAAGAAATGAGAAAATGAAGATGTAACTTTACGTTGAGTTTTTAGAACAAATTAGGAGCAGCTCTATTGTTTTTAATCTGAAAACCTTCGGAAGAAGAAATACGCAAGGGAACCTAGTTCCTAATTTCTGCAACATCTGAAAATTTTTAAAAGAGCGCTTCTTAATAAAAATCGATTTAAAAAAATAAATCGAGGTGCAAACAGTAAAAATTGAATAATTTTGCGAAATTTATTAAGCAAAAAAAACTATCATTCAACCTAATTTTCTAATTGAAAAACAATTGAAGCTAACCAGAACAAAATCTTTACTGTATGTCTAATTGAATCTTTTCAAGTTAAATTTCATATAACTAGGAGATCTTACATCTGGTTCTGCTAAATTTGGTTAGAACTTTTCAGCAAGCTCTATATTATTTTTGCTAAAAATCTTTTTACATCAATTTTTTTAAATCCAAAATAATGAAATGTAGATCTTGAAAACAAATTTTTGTTTTATGCTTCAAGTATCATCTTCCGAAAGAATTCGGGGTTGGGTTTACTTCACAAAACTTATCCCCAAAATATCTGAATTTTCATATAAATTTACCTAATATATCAACATCTGAAAATTTTTAAAAGAGCGCTTCTTAATAAAAATCGATTTAAAAAAATAAATCGAGGTGCAAACAGTAAAAATTGAATAATTTTGCGAAATTTATTAAGCAAAAAAAACTATCATTCAACCTAATTTTCTAATTGAAAAACAATTGAAGCTAACCAGAACAAAATCTTTACTGTATGTCTAATTGAATCTTTTCAAGTTAAATTTCATATAACTAGGAGATCTTACATCTGGTTCTGCTAAATTTGGTTAGAACTTTTCAGCAAGCTCTATATTATTTTTGCTAAAAATCTTTTTACATCAATTTTTTTAAATCCAAAATAATGAAATGTAGATCTTGAAAACAAATTTTTGTTTTATGCTTCAAGTATCATCTTCCGAAAGAATTCGGGGTTGGGTTTACTTCACAAAACTTATCCCCAAAATATCTGAATTTTCATATAAATTTACCTAATATATCAAGTAACAAATTTTCCGATAAATTATACATAAATATAATTCTTGAGACTTTTTATGTTGGATTTTTTCTCAAGATATAACCTCTAAGCTAAGTTTTAGTAAAAAATATGTCATAACTCCTAATGAATTAAATTGAGTTTCTATCTCAATGAAGTATTTTCTCCAAATGATTTTCTCAATTTGATAACTGTATGTTGCTACTTCAACTCTGAATTTCTATCTTGAATTTTTTGGTTGAGAATGATGTGTATTATCATCTTGAAATTTTCAAAGGTTGGCAAAACATATATATTTTTAAATCTTTTCTAGGTCAGTTATCAATTTGTTTTCTGAAATTCCAAAAAACAGTAGAAAACCAAAATTCTGAATTAATCAACCACCATTATCTGCTTCAAATTGCAGTACTCTATGAACACTTTTACAAGCACTAAACAAGTAAAACTTTAAAATGGTAACTATGTAAAATCTTTCAATTAGTCGATGTTTTATATATATCCTTTTTACAATAATTTAACAAATTTTAAACCACTCATTAGCGTATTCTATACACTTTAACTACAAATTTATCGCAACAAAGTCTCCGCAAGCTTGCAACCAATGGAGTTTTTACTATAGATTAAAGATTATCGCATCGATTTCCATCGAAAGTTTCACGGCAATTTGATTTCGATTGTTGCAGGTTTTATCAGCAATCAGAACCTTTGAAAAAAAAATAAAGGACAGATCATGAATTCGGATGAAAAAACTGTATAATGCTTACTAGAATTTTTCAAATTTATCACAATTGTATAGACTTTTCAGATTCAGTTAAAAAATTATTCATATTAATTTTTCCTGTTTTTAATAAAAAAAATATATTAATTTTACATTCTCTGAGAGTGCGTTTGGAGACTGCTGAGCGTCTTTTCCATATTTAATATTATGTTGACACAACGAATGCTTCTTCTTGATATGATTAGTGAGTTCCTCGCTGCTATATGTATAAAAGTTACAATTGGAACACTTTAAAATGCCACAGCGTCTTGACGCGTCTTTACGTGTGTATTCTCTGCCACATTTAACACCTGCAAGTCTTTCGTTTCTATTCAGTGACGGCATCTCAATAAGTAAAGAAAGAACACAAAACAATTTACAAAATGGGAAATTTGAAAAATCTCAAACAATTGTGGGAGATTTACAGTTGCTTTGAAATATCCAAAAAATTGAAAGAAAATTTATGAAATGTGTTGTTTTGACCGATTAATTTCATTGTAAATGAAAAAAAAAACCATTTGGTTTTGCATAAAAAAGAGTCAATCACAATCGAGCTTTCACTTAAGATGAAACCTTCAACAATTGTGTTTTTATCCAATCAGAATGGAGCTCTACTTCTGATGGAAATTTTTATATGTTGATACTAACCAATCAGAATCGAGCTTCAATGGTCATTAAATTTTCGACAGTTTTTATGTCTAACTATCATAACGGAGCTCTACCTTTTATAGAATTTTCAATATTTTAGAAATGTATCTATCATTATATTGAAAAAGTCTATCATAAACTACTTGAATTTCCTCGAGTTACTGTACAAAAAAAACAAAAAAATTCCACTTGATTTTCTTATTGATGAATTATAGACGTTGATTCTTACTTTTTCTCACAATTTTTTGGACGTTAAAGCTGTCCAAAATAGAGTTCTCCGACCAAGTATAGGTCTATTTGAGGAAACTTACTCAATCAAAGATTTACTTCTGATCCCCATATTGCGTATCAAAGCTTCAAACTTACGGCTGAATTACACCTGACTAGGAAAGAAATTAAAATTATTCTAGAAA